TGCTCTTGGGAGTCTCCTGGCCCTTCCTTTCAAAGAAAGAAGGTACAATAACTGTTCCCAAAACACTGCATTTGTGAAGAAAGAGCGATAGGAAAAAGAGATTACGCTCTTTGAAACCGATAAGGCAGGGAAATCGGCTGTGTTGTCAGCAATTCAGTTTCGGAAAAAAACCTGACCTTGCGGTTAAGGGGGAGTTCAAACAGTTCGATGAAAATTTGAATGAAACTGAAAGTGCTGGAGTGCTTAAAGGGTGCGAATTCCTGTCACTGGACTCAAAGCTGAATGACTTGCAGTAAAAGTGCAGTCAAGCAATTTGCTTACTCAATCAAGCAGCGCTGTTGTGCTCCTTTTGCAGGAAAAGCCCTTACGACTATGATGATTGCCTCACAAAAGTGGTTCACTAAAGACGAGCAATAAGGACAGCTTCAGTAGTTCATCCTTGTTTGAAAACGCATACACCACGCTTTTGCTCAAGAACTCTGCCATACAATAGCATGACCTCGCACCATAAACGAAGAGATTGTTTGCAAACATTTCATCTGTCGAATAATGAGAACAAACCGTCAAAAAGGGACTGCCGCCTGGCCGTCAGCTTTGTCAGAACGGGAACTGCTCAATGATAGTCTTTTCAATTCTAAATGCATTCACATTTGTAATGAAGGTGTTTTACAAAGTATAATCCCAGAACACAGCACCTCCTCAGCTGCTGGAAGTTCACCCTAACAGGCCATGCTGCATCAAAGGTGGAGTAAGTCGTGCACGTCTGTGGAGGAAGATGAGACTGGCAAACAAAGTGTGTAGCTTTGGCCTCCAGCCAGAGGGAAACCTGAGCGGAGTCTATGCCGTGCTTAAAGCAGCGCACAGAATGCACAAACATTGTTCTTCAACGTCGACATACGCGGCAACGGGGTACGCTGTGTTACAGGAGCCACTGTAAGTCTCACGATTAATGCAGAGTGCATTTCGATGGGGGGATTGGTTCTTTCTGTCACATGAAAAACATTATTGCAACTATATTTACTGGTGCTTGTGCAGTTTGAGCTTCAGATTCTCCTGATAAACTGTGCACTCCAAAGCGGGGTTTCATTCAGTATAAAAAATCTCAAGGACTATTTCAAATTTCTGGGAGGGCTTGTGTACTTTGTGAGGGAATTCTGAGGTTGGATGGGGGGCAAACATTCCTGCTCTAGAATCTACAATCACATGTCTAAGTGCCAAGAAAGAATAACGTTCATAACTCATCTTATTTTTTATAAGAAAAAAGTCAATGAGCCTCCATTTAGCAATTCATGCCAACTGCTTTAGGACACCCGATAGAAATTCAGACTAAAATAGGCACGATCGTCGGTAGATTACTTCTCTCGATCAAAACGTTCAACACCAGTCTCTTGCCGTTCGTAATATGAGGTGCGATGTGTGCTCACTCGTGTTCGTTCAAGCGTATTTCAGTTTGGCCTAACGTGCCCAAGAAGTGCACTGACGGGTCGTGCTACGTGATGTTATTACACGTAAAAAGTGCGACACTGTTAGCGCAAACTTTCGATAGCCCGTCTTATTTTTTCTATTATTCAATATTTATAATAATTTAAATTAGTGCCGGAAAAAGTGCGCGTCTAGGCCATTAACCTAAGCGGTAATGTTTAGTGCTCGCCAATATTGTGTCCGAGTAAAATAAAAAGAAAACACCGATGTTTAGTTCGTGCTAATCGTGTCGCGCAGTGTTCCACAGAGCCGGCACTCTCGGCCAAACTTTAAACGCAGCGATAGAACCACGTCACTCTTGTTGAGCCTGCTATGATCACAAAATACTAAGCTCCCATAGCGCTAATGTAATATTGACTCCGACATTTGTTAACACGATACGTTTATGTGGCTTTCGGGTCTTTCCAACGCAATTGTGCGAGCGCTTCGGCAGGTTTTCCGACGGGATTGATGTGGGCTTCAAGAATCTGCTCTTCCAACCTTAGACAAAATGTGGTGGTATTAGAACATATTCCACTGCTACCCTTAATCGCACACATACCTTTCGCTTTGGCGCTTCTCGCTTTGAAGGCTTCGGTCGAGATACGCCGACTGTACACCATGTCGTGTGCAGATCATTTTTTGCCGACTTTTACCTTGAAAATTCATCGAGCCTTCGGCTTCGTATCTTGAGGATCGTTATAGAAGCTTACTCCGGGTTCGGTAGCAAAGCTCGTACATTGTGGAACGGAGCAATACCGAACCATTTTGAAAATGATGCAACATAGAAACACACACAACTTATTGCCGGCCTGTTGTCCGTACAGGCCAATGTTTATACTGGTAATGATGATGATGATAGCGAGGTGCGAGCGCCCCTTATATTTCGATCTCCTGCACAATGCCAGTGCCGCTCAATACACTGAATGACAAGGGGGGGAAACTGTCCCTCTCCCCCCAAAGCAAGGTCAGCTATTCATACGGGGAAGGTCAACCTCGAAGGAAGGATGGGGGTCTCATCTCGCGAGCCTGCAAGGCGCGCCTAGCTGGGCTTCGCCTGTGTGTGAAGTCGAGGGAATCGGCGACAGATCTTGCAGGTCCATGCCTTTTTGGTTTTTTTTTTTTTTTTTTTTTTTTTGTTTCGCTGCCTGAATTTGCTATGTGTGAGAACAGCATGAAGAAGAACCTTCAATAACAAAATAGCTCAATTTTGGTTTCGGGTCTTGGATTAAATTAGATTTTGACATTAAAACTATGCAGCCAAAAACAAGTCTCAAAACATCATGCGTGATCGCCGAGAAGCCGCCAACCGCGTCTCAGTGTGTTCGAACAGGGTTGCTCGCGAATCTCATCCGCAAACGCTTCGCAAACGTAGCTAAACCGCCAGTGTCAATGGGCCATTAGGGCTTTAGAACATCACAGTTCATACTTGCCAGAACTTTAAAACAGCGCAAAATAACCGATGGTCAAGAACAAGTGAACGAACACAACTCAGTGTTGTGTTCCTTCATTTCTCTTTCTTGTCCTTCGTGTATTTTGCTCTGTTTTTTTTGTTTTTTTTTTATAATGTATCAACTAGCCCTACTTTATGCCTTGTTACAGTTCATACTTACAGTACGAAAAAAGAGGTTGCCTTTTTTTCGACGCATTCAGGCGGATTAGAGCAGACAGGAAGACTTAAAAGCATTGTTGAGGTGGATGGTCGTTTCCAAGCTGTTAAATAAATAGTAGCTTGAAAAAAAAGTTGTAGTTCACAATTACGAGATACGCGTCATACTGGATCGCAATTCTGATTATTCAAACTTAAAATATCTGAAAGCAATGTGTTGTTTAAATCGTGACGCCCGATTCCTATCATATCGAATTGACATGGAGATGTCGAAACTTCAGTAGAGTTATTTCAGAACTCAAGACAAGTTTTCAGGCTTAAACTAGGGTCTCCAAACTTTCTCGTGGGCCGGGTTAGATGTTTGTCGCAACCTCGAGGGACAAAAAAACAACAACAACAGCAAGTAAATATAGATTAGAAACAAAGCCTACATAAATAGACCTATAAAAGCATTTAAATACAACGAATCAAAGTGAACGAATATTTAAAAAAAAAAGATACCAAGGTGTATTCACGAAAACCCTACATGCAAATAACAAGACTAGTGTGTAATAGAGATGGATATACCGTGTATACACGTATTTATATATATGTTCTGATTCAACATTTAGCTAATTATGATGTTATGCAATGATTGTAACCAGAAAACTTCACCAATCATAAATTAAAGCGAATATGAACTCTGGTGCATTCTCACAACGCAGAACGCTAATGGTAAATGGCAGGACTGGTGATGACAATAGGCGATACTTGTGATACAGGGCACTAAGTACAATATACAGGATTTCCAACAAAAGCAATTTAGAGGGTTTTCTTTCACCGCACAAATAAAATATACATCGCCGGTCGCTCATTCTCCCCCCAAAATGTTGCGCTAGAGGTTCGAATTAGATGCCAAAGTGTTAGCACTAAACGTTTATCTATTCAAGATTTGTAAGTAATTTTCTAAAATTTTCTGTGGGAAAATGGCGGCCGACGGAGCTCTCAAGTACATGGAGCTCTATGACGCCAGAAACCGAAAACGGACAACAATAGGCCCCATTTTTTCATTTTAATTTTCAGGAAATCACTCATAGCTTCTGAATAACATATCGGTTCGTGTTGAAACATTGGCATCTGGTTAGGACCACTAGCGCTACCTTTATTTGGGTGGAGAGTGAGCGCTCGGCGGACGTATATTTCATCTTTGCTGTGGAATGAACGTTTACATTTTTTTCTGTGACACTCTGTATATAAGAACTCGAAATACTTTTAGCGAAGTCATGCAGGCATGAACCAGGGGACTAAGATTTGAGATTCCGGTGGTAACAATGTGCAATAAATATAAATTAGCGGTAATCAGCACGAACACGAAGTGTTCGGTGTGCGTAGCAACGCCATTTCTTTTCACGCGTTTAATTTTGTGACAGTAGCAGGGGACACCTGCTGAAAACGGGTCGCAGGCCGGGGGTCACTGCAAGAACCCCGCCCAGCCGCGGACCTGTGGGAAGGCCTTCGAGTGCTGGATCTCGACCGCGGACCGGGTTTTGGATACCCCTGACTAAACGGTTATCCCATAGAGGTCATGAGTAGTATACATCAGCTTTATGTTCAATAGAATAATAGTAGAATTACTAAACTCTTCTGACACCTCAATGCCGAAACCTTTAGTGTGGTGTCAAATTAACGCAAGTTATTTCAAAAGTAGCTTACAGTTGCTTAGAAATTGGCGGTAACACCAGACGCTGCAAACGCATCTGCGCTGCGGCAAGACCACTTAATAGTTCAAATGTCATCACAGGAGCGGTTCGTATCTGCAGAAGGAAGGCAGCCGATCCTACGTTCCCACATCGACATAATCTCGCTTAACATGGATACGTAGCAGTTGGTATTTTCCCCTGAGTTTCGAAAAGGACAGCAGCGAGGAAGGCACTCGCCGATATTGAGAGCAATGAATTCACTCTTTCTCATATTCATATATGCCACTGCATTTATACCGCTTGGTAAGTGAGCTAATCGTCATTAATTAGCGAAGTGATCAAAGTTTTTCAAAGTGAGCCAACAGCATTGAAGATCACATGTATTTTTGACTTTTGGGCTTACCTTTGCACTATGTCTCACACAACATGCCTGTAGAGGACGCGCTTGCATGTGTCTCTCGTTACTTGATTGCAGGAGCTAATGTGCACTCACTCAGTCAAAAGTAAAAATATGATTTCTCACGTTGGCGACTTTGTTGCTTGTCTCGGAATGTCTGTGGAATTTAACTGGCTGAAAAAGTGAGTCACAATTTAAGCGCGTTCAAATTTATATTTTTCTTTTTATCCACCCCAGTGAAAAATAATATTTGTATGAGAAATTTCTTCGTGCAATGCACACATATGATCAGATAAGATCACAAAAGAACGTAAAAGAATCATACGTGTCAAACGTATAAAGTGCGACATAGCAAAAACACATTACCTTTTTGTATTTTCTGTTTTTATTGTACACCTGCAATGTTCTCATCAGCGAAATTTCATTGGCATATGTGTTCAACGCGGGTACCGACTTGACGCTTGAAGAAAACGCTTATGTTCTTTTTGTTATAGTTTTGTCCAGTGTACTAAGAGCATGTCAACATATTTATTTTGTCCTCAAGGAACAAGTGTATTCTTGAGATCGAGAAAATTCATACATACATCCTCTCTTCGTTTTCTTTTTTTGTAAACACAAATTTTAGCGCAAATCGTGCTCTTCAACTTCCACTTCCAACCTAAATATTACAGGATCTGCACGTCTCGACCGCACAGACCGACATAACGACCCGCGGTGTAGCTGTGGGAAGCGTCAGAAAGCAAAAATTGTTTCTTCGAGAATCATTAATGGTACGGAGGCTCCACCGGAACACTGGCCGTGGGTGGTGGGAATCTATGATTCAACCGACACCTTAGTATGTGGAGGGTCCTTAATCAACGAGGAATATGTGGTGACCGCTGTGCACTGCTTTGTGTAAGTGCCTGGTATTTTTTTTACTGCAACACTTTATTATGATTTATTTCCCTAGAATGACTAATTTGTTGTCTCAACTATTTACAGTCGTCTCTTTGTTTGTTTGTAGCTGTATTGACACTATGCTTATGCAATTTGTTTTTGGGGCGTAAAGCAAATCACGTTGTTCTAAATTCCACGACTAAAACATATCCAGAATCTGATGTCGTCGCACACTTAGCCGTACCACTCGATTGCCAAGTTTTTGGTTTAAGGTATTCTTACTCTTCAGGCATTTAAAATACATATAGGGTGGAAGTTTGGATCTAGACACCATTATAAAGTTGTAAATTAATGAGGAAAACAAGCTTGTGTTTGGTCAGAGTGCATCGGAAAGTTTGCACCTAAATTGTACTCATCAAATTCAAATTGTCTTTGGAAAAATTGTTTTTCTTATTTCGCGAGTGTAATTGTTTTGCTTTATTCTTTTACTTCAAGAAATAAAGATGCGTGTGAGTTTTCAATTCGTCTTGGAACCATTCTCAGAACCAATTTCTCTCAATGTATCATTAACCAACAAGATTCAACTGCACAAAACATGGCAGTCAATCAAGCAAAATTACCCAGAGAAGTAGATGAAGGCAACGTCTTAGTCAACAAGGCTTCAGAAATCCAAGTGATCTGTGTTGAAGTTGAAAGCATCTGCACTCCTATACAAAAGGATTGTGGCCCTTTCTTGGTGCGTACTGAGCAAGAGTCCTAACACCAGAAAAGTTGGGCCTTATTCTGTTCTTTTAATCGTATTGCTCTTACAGAAAGACATTGCTGTTGTAAAATTAAAGAATAAAGTCAACTACTCAGAAAATATTCAGCCAATATGCCTTCCGGAAAACGGTGTCGATCCTCCAACAAGCAGTCCAGCCTATACCGTGGGCTGGGGAAAACTGTATGGTAAATTCCCTGATTTTACTATTTTATTAAAGACTCTCATCTTTCTCAGATAAAACGGCGCAACTTTGCATTCTTCTACTTTTATATATTTGACTGGTAATTAGAATTGATGTATAACTGTTCCACTAGGAAGAGGGGCAAAAGAAAAAAATGCCCTTTTCCTCTCACTCTGCGCTTCGTCTGCTAGTCTAGTAGGCTGTAACTAACATCCATCTGGCGTTCAAACTCTGTTTAAAATCGCGTAATTTTGGAAATTTCAAGTGCATATGCGCGGATTTAAGTATGCAAGTTATCGTCTAACGCTACGCTTGACAAAAATTTACTAACCGGGTCCAATTGCTCTGTTACCTGTGTACCAAAAATAAATGGAAAAATTGTTTTAAGAGTGGCCGGTCTCTCCGGCGAAAAGTAAATCCGGTTGCTGCAGCCTTTTTACTATTCTAAGTTCGTACCGGTGTAGGCCTTTAGCAGCAGCGAGTGCGAGTCTGGAATAATAAATAAAAACGTTCACTTCTGACGCAATAGGCGCAGAGGTTAAGGGTAGTACTGCTGACTGATTCCACTGCTATTTGAAGTAACGGAACAAAGATACTGGAGTTCATCATTTACTAAAATAAAGCAACATAGCGATATACGTTGATCTGGGAGTAGTCATAAATATTCTGAGAACGCGAACCACTTAACAACCGCAACCGCGAGCAACAGTTCGATGTTCAGTACAGCCCTCCGTTACAGCCCAAAGATGGAGAACGGCAACCTCCCGGTTTGTCGTCTGCTAGCGGAATTGGGCGCGTGCCCTCTCTCTCGTTTTACCCCGCCCAACCTGATAAATTTCCCGAATGTGTGGAGAGGGTGCTGCGGTCGAACAAAATGGCGATAGGGAAATTGATGCATGAGCATGTTTCAACTCTCGGAAACATAAATTGAAGATTCCTTTCCAGCTACATTTTGTACTAATTCTTAAAATAAAAAGAATCTAGTCACGTTGTGACGGTCAACAAAGGTTAACGGCTCTCTGGTGTCGCTCAGGAGATCGCGACTCCGGAAAGCCGATAGAAATAACTTTTTGACAATATCCAGCCACACCCGGCGGCGGAGATGAGCCTTCAACTGTGAGTTGTAGATGATAAAATCGAGTGAGTGTCATTACTTCAAAATATCAATATTAAGAAACATTTTGCTACAAAAAGTTACAAGCTGCAACAGCAATTATCACGAGAAAACTTGCACCCGCCTTGCAAGTGTACCCCATGTTCATCGACAATACAGCGTTAAGTGCTGCTCCATTCACGAAATGTTCCGAGCACAGTCGAGAGGATAGCGTTGGGGAAATTCATTTTCGGTTTACGGACGCAACCCACTACCGCCGGAGATTGGGGTCATGTGGAAAGCGATGGTGCTTGAAGACATTGCAGCCGCACTAGCCGAATTCTGTGCGAGCTACATAGGTCCTCGGTCAGTATCCTACGCTTTCTGTCGTCACTCGTGCACCTTATAACTAAGGTGTGCATTTTCCGGTTTTAACCGAAAAACACCGATAAACATCCGTCGGTGACTAAAATATAAAATCGTTTAAAACTGAAAAACACCGGTGGTTGGATATTTTCGCCCTGGTTAAAACCGAAAAACACCGGTCGTTGCTAGTTTCCGACCTAGCGAAACCCTTTCCCCGTAGAGGTTCGTCAAACGTGTTATCTCGTGGATCCTGCATTCTTCCCAACGAGGTTGAGGGGCTTAGAGTGATAAACCGGAAGTTCGGAAGTGGCACCCCCCCGGTTGCCACCATGTTTTACACAAATGTGACCACTCGTCACGTGACCTAACAAAAGGAGTGACGTCATCGGTAAGATGGCAGCGCCCAGAGCTAGTAAATGCGAGTTTGCTCGGTGCGCGGTAGCCGTGATGTGCAGCTGCTTTCCGACGACTTCGGGCTTCTTCGTGCTGGCTGACGCAAGTATAATGTGAAAACATGAAGGAATGAGACTTTATACCCTTTTTGCGCGAGATCGCTCTTGATCATCTGGATAGTAACGCTTGTGAGAAAGCATCAGCCGTATCGCCGTACCGGTGCTCGGATTACCGAATGTGTTGTTCGAGGATTGATAGAACTCTGAGTGCTTTTAGCATGCGATTTTCGCATTCTCATAGCTTTGGTTGAACGTTGGAACGTCTGAGAATCGACGCTAAATTTATGCGTCGGACGTAGGGCCTAGGGGAATTCGTTTCAGCCCTAGGAAACTGCATAATCACAGCCAACTTTTAGCGAGGAAGCTCCTGCGATCTTTACGTATTGCGCTAATCGGTGATTCTACATTCGATCGCTTTTCTTCCTTTTTTTGTCAGTGCGAAGTGCACACTTATTTTCAGCGGCGAGGTAGACGTTTTATTGAGTGTGGGCATGAATAAATCGTTGCGGGCACCTACTTTAAAGCTATTCAACTTGCTATAAGAACAACTGTTTTGGTGTACGCATAGATTAACTGCACATTTTTCTATTTCGTAGCATTTATTGCAGGAATACTTTTTTTCTAATTATGAGTGCATTGTATTTTCGGTCAATTATTTACTTGTTCTAATTACCTGGACAAGATAATTCGTATTTGTGTTCACCCCTTGCCCGAAGAGCAGTCTTGTTGAAAAATTTTGCCACATCCTTTCGGTCTCTTCAATAGACTTTTTTCAAAAGTGTAAGTTACCTATACTTTGTATCACCGTAATTCGGAAAAGGGCAACCGCCACAGCCCCCTCGAGCCTATCAGAGAGAGGGAGTGAAGGTATGTGACAAATCTGCGCGGACGAGCACTCTGATGATATGTTGTCATGTGACTCTCTTCAACGTGCATATTGACTCACCAAGACTGTAGCCTTTGCCGTTTGCCAAATTGTGATGGAACGAATTACAGTAGCTACTACTCTAAAGGGAAGATGGGGCACTTCTACATTTGAGAAAAAACGCTTGAATTGCGTTCATTTGGCCTTTAGAATAACAGATATCAAAATTATATTTCAATGCGACGCGCCGGAGAGCCACAAGAGCAATTTCAAAATACGACTGAAGCCCCGCCTCCCTAGCCTTGGGCAGCCAAAAGCGCCGTCGATGACGTCACGGACAGCGACTGTCTTTCGCGTTTTTCTCGCGTTTAACAATACTTACGCAGCAAATGGTTTGGGTATTCGGGTTCACGGGGTAAAAATATACTAGAATTCACTTCTAACTCATTTTTTCCAAGAAGCTCCGTAGCTTCCCTTAATTACCCAAGGCCTTCATACTTTGGGCATTTGTTCGTCAACAATGTTATGTCCGCCGCCACTGTGAACTCGGCTCAGCGCCTATTGGACTCTAGTGCTGTGCTGCGTTCGACGTGAACTTCGCCCATTCGTGTGCTCTACGCCTAAAAAAAAATTGTGACAATTGCGTTGCTTGATGGGGTTTTGCAAATGGTCTATTTTGTCATTCGTATCGAAATTGTCCTGCTATAGAACAATGTATCAACACATTTAATTAAACTAGATGCCCAGAGATGCGTTCGTCTTTGTAATTAACAAGTTACAGCAATAATTATTTCTTACGAGTGTAATATTTATTTTTGGTAGCTGGGTTGGTTTTGTGCTCATTAATGTCAGTGTGCTATGATGTTATTAACATGTGTGTAGTTTTAAGTATCCTCTCCGCAATGCTTACGAAGGCCCCGGGAGGGAATAAAACAGTAAATAACATTTTCACATCACTGGAGGGAATACGTTAATAAATAACATTTTCACATCACTACAGTTTGTTTTCGGATGCACCACATGTTCAGAAGAAATGAAACGACTGCATCCCCGTGCAACAAGTCTGCCAGTCTGGTATGTCCCATTAATTAATACTGAGGGGTCAGAGATGGTGATGGTCCTCAAAAGGTCCAGCGTGTGCAGTAAACACACTTCTTGGTGTCTAGACTCTGAAGGCGTAAAGGCAAGCGTAAATATGTTTTTGGTTAGTGTATCAAATGTGTTTATTTCCAATTGATTACATAATTATGGATTCTTAGCAAATGGTTTCATAATAAGTTCTTTCTGTGACAGTCTCGTGTCAGGCGTTTAGTTGTTGTACCTGTACTCGTTGTTGTCGGATGAAGCTCCTGGCACGTCTGAGTTCAGTTTGGTCGAGTGGCAACTTCTACTGACCGATGCCATCTTGTAATCATACGTCATGTGCCGCACCTGACATCTGATGCACTGGAGCTGCAGGGCTGGCCTCTAATCCGCATATTTTCCTGGTAGCTTTCTGCGTCAATGCAGCAAGCTCGGCATGTATTGGTTATGTGGCTGTGCCTTTTGCTGTACCGTTGACGTGATAGCTGGCAACAATGTTTGTTTGCTATCCAAGCCATTTCACTTCCATTTCGTAATGGAGACTTATTCTGCATCCCACGACCACTACAACTTGTGCAACTCTTGTGGGGCAAAGTGAAGTCTCGTGATGCTTGCAGTCCACTTTTGAGAGCAACCAACCATTCTATTTCGTCAAGTCACTCAGCGGCATTCTCATTAAAAGTTAGAAATAGTTTGCTTCGTGGCGTGGACACAGATAATTAGTGTCAGCAAATTATTAGGTATTGTCCTTGGACGACAACCGACACCAAATCAACTTTCCTTGCATTGCCGCTCACCTGCTTTGTCGTGCTTACCTCCCATCGAGGTGAAGAGGATCAGAAGCTTCGGGGTAATGTTGGCACCAGGTACAAAGGCCACCGAAGATAATCCTCAATGCTTCGCGGACGCTCGTCGAAACATGGTCGAGGGTCGTTCAGCTTGAACCCTTGCAGGCCAATTCATTGGTATGGGTACTTCCAGTAGACATGGTCGGCCTCATGCAATGGTAGCAGAGTGGTTTTCGGTCGACCATTCGCAGCACCTCCGTTTTCCTCGGTGTATTTTGTTCAGCGCGGACCTACGCTGGTTCTTCCTCATGTCGGGAATGCTTCGTGTTGGGGTGTCTCGTTAAATTGGTATTGGAT